TTGTTTGGAGCGGTTGCCCCGGTTACGGCCGAGCGAGATGATTGGCTCCGCGAAGGTCCCGTGGCTCGACCCCTTCTAAAAAGACTACTAGTCCCAGCATGCAACGCTCGGGTGTTCTGCACCCTCCCCCCTCCCCCCATCCTCATGGATCTGAGCAAGAGCTGGGGAGAGAGGCAGGGAATTGACCCCTCCCAACCTGAAAGGGCCCCTCGTGGGACAAGGCAGGGGCTGGGGACTTGCCCCCCTTAAAGGGCAATAGCTGAGGGATCCCCGCCCCAGGAGAGAGGTGGGGGGCTTACTCCACTAAATGGGAATGCACCCCCCCCGGGGGACAGAAGAGGAGCTAGGGGGCCTTAACCCCCCTTAAAGGAGCAACCCCTGAGAGACCCCCTGATGGAATATAGGGGAATGGGTGAGGCATTAGGCGGGAGGGATAGTTCAGTGGTTTGAGCATTGGCCTGCTAAACCCAGGGTTGTGAGCTCAATCCTTGAGGGTGTTGGGGTTACTAGGCCTGCCTGAGCCAAAGTTTTTCCATGTTTAAACTCTGTCCTTCCATGTTTAACTCTAATCGGCCTCAAAAAACCAAGGACAGGAATTGGAATGTGTAAACAGCCAGTTAGCAATTACGACTTTGCTCAAACCAGGTACCAAACAATAATGATGAGGTTTGCATGTCCCTAGCTGGGGAAGGGGTAATAAACTAAGAGTAAACAGAACCAAATAACTGTTTAGAGGAGAGTTACTAACAAGCTAGATTTATAGCCCTAGAATTATTTAATTGCTTAAATGTATAAACATGCCTTTGGTAGAGAGGGAGAGTAGAGAGGGGGAGAGAGCGGGGGCTTAGTTGTAAAATGTATAAAGAAGAGAGAAACTGTTTTTGCTGGTGTGCTTGATTTGAGACTTGCCTGTCTCCTTGCACCACTTTGAGATCTCAAATAAACTGTGATTGTTTCTCCACCCCGGTATGTTTTTTGACGCGAAGCACTCCGGGCAACGAACCCCACTGTTGCTGTCCTTGAGCCTCTGTGCCGGCAACAAGGGGACCACTTGGGGATCTGGGGCAAAATCAGTACTTGGTCCTGCTAGTGAAGGCAGGGGGCTGGACTCGATGACCTTTCAAGGTCCCTTCCAGTTCTAGGAGATGGGATATCTCCATTAATTTATTTTATTTATTTTATTTATTAACCCCCCATGTTAATGGGGCCAAGCCCAGGGATCCCCATCCCCAAGGACTGTGGCAGGGTCCCCCTCTGGAAGCCCTCAGAGAGGGCCCCCACTTCTGAGCCTGTTGTGACTCCCCACAGCCAGCCCCGGGCTCCTGGCTAATTCCCTCGTCACCCTGTGGACTGCAGCCTGCAGCATGTGCTAGCCCAGGACACGCATTGCCCCACCAGGCATTCCTTCCCACCCGCTACACTCACCCCGTGCCCACACAATGGCTCATGGGACAGCTGTATGCTGTTCTGTGGTGAGGCTTTCCCTTACCGCGTAGTATCTGAGCCTCATGTATGTCAGAGGGTTAATCTTCACAACCCACCCTGAGGCAGGGAAGCAATACTATCCCCACTGTGCAGATGATGAAACCGAGGCACTGAGAGGGAAAGAAGCTTGCCCAAGGTCACGCCGCATGTCAGAACCCAGCTCACCTCTGGCCTGGTCCTGTGCTTAAACCACAACATTCAGAATTGTTAACTCTAGCAGTGTTCTTGGGAGTCTCACAACTCAGGTCTTGGAGTAATGTTATTACATGAGAGTCTCAACGTTCATTTAAACAAAATACAGAAATTCCAGACCTCGTGATTGTGGAGAAAAGGTGAACCCTAAAAAGCTACAAAACCAGAATGCAAATAAAAAGGATGCGAAATTTATTGTTCTAAAACTCCCATGCTTTTTAAGTCAGTCTCATGATTTTGGGTGGCTTGACTCATGATTTATGAATGTAGGGGTTGACAATGCTTTTTTGTTGCTATTTCATGGTTGCTATTTTTCCGTTTCCCCACATCTCCCACCAGTAAGAGTCAGATTTTATTCATGAGCTTTAACTAAGAAATTATTCTTTTTTAGAATCTGTTAAAAAAAAACACTGCTGAGAGTTTTCAACTTTATGAACTGATCATTCAAGGTTTATGTCAATGGATTTGCACCCCACCCTTATCCAAAAACAGATCTGTGAGGGTCATGAAGATATCTTTTTAGTTGTATTTTCACAGTTTTTTCCCCCTCACTTTTTTTTCTTTTCTTTTTTTTGACTGTTTCTCTCTTCCTTTGTCCCTTCTCTGATCTCCGGTACCATGCAGCTTGTTTTGTCTGTGTAACATTGGAAAAACTCTTTAAACAAAATGTTTGAAATATCCAAGATGGCTGTTTGGTTGTCATGCCATTTCTGGGGAACCCTTATGTATTTTTTAGGAAAAGATCTTCCATTGAAGCTATGCCAACAATTGACAACAGCTAAGGATCTGGCCTTCTGAATTTGAAATATGTGCTGAAAATTACCACACGCTCCTTTCATGGTCTGGTAGCCTCCACCAGCAAACTTTCATTTCTACTCTTCTGCTTACTGAAACTGTCAAGAAAGATCTAAAACAGCTAAAGCAGAAGCTTCCGCATTTTCTGTTTCTTTCAGATATTGTATGTTAAATCTTTCCCTTTCCGGAATCTGATACATTTCATCCCTCAAAGAAATTCAATGGGTCCATTTTATCTGAAATATTTTGGTCAATTACTTTTTTCAAGCTGCCTTAAAAAGGCACAAAATAGTGAAAGAAGAATTAGACCCAGCTTGACACCAGTGTGAATCGGGAGTAAATCCACTTAA